TTATTTTGTAAATGTGTGCTGTTATAAATTTTAATTGTATATCTATTTATTGTTTTAATATGTTGTGAGCTGCCCAGAGTCCCCCATTTGGGGGAGATGGGCGGAGACAAGTTTAATAAATAAATAAAATTTTGAACCAGTGATATCTCAGAAGGAATTACTATGTGAATTTGCTGGAAGTGGAAGGTCACCATTTGTTCCAACAATCTTTTCCAACAATTCCATTTCATTTTATTGGAGAAGAACCAGTTGGTTGAACCTCCTCTTCTTCCTTCTTCTGAAGCTTTTGGGGGGTTAATATATTCTTCTTTAAATAGAATTCTAGTCATGTATCATTTTCTTCCTATTGCTAGACCCCACAAAATTGGAGAACTTCATTCTATGTATGATAGCACTTATTTTTTGCTATGTCTTTTCCACTTCTCCAATCGTAAAATTGCAAACATAAATAGACCAAATGTTCTGGTCTATGGGGGAAGAATAAAGAACATTGATGGGAACTTTCAGATAACATTTATGGACAACACAAACTGATCTTCAGTAGGAACAAATGAATAATTTGTTGGCATTGAAAAAAATATTCTATTTTCCCTGGGTGGCTCTTTTCCTCCATCTTTCTAGCTAGATCTGATTATCTTTAAGAGGCTTTTCAGTTCCATAAAGACTTAATATTTACAAAGAGAAGAGGCAATAAGATTGTTTTCACATTTCACATTAAACACCTTTTAATATGTTTGGCATGCAAGATGTCTATGGATCCAGTGTTGATAATCCAGCAATACTGCATGATTACCTTTAACATATGCCTCATTTTAATAACGGAAGATTCTTTTTCAAGTTATGATTGTTCTAAATCTCCATGGGTAATAGTTGCCTTCTGGGATCATCATTCTCAATGCTTGCATGATTTCTTAGCGTAGCTTTTGACCACCCTATGAAGTTGTCTTTATTTCCAGTTCCTTCTCTCCACCTAGGGACTGGCATTGCACAGGAATGTGTCCTTTTGAGGGCAAAGGGATACACCTTTGACAAGTTAAAGAAGACAAGTTAAAGTTGACAAGATAATCCATAAAGAAGACAGAAGAAGACACCAAGTTCAAGAATGTCCTTCATACTGTTGGACTCCCCCCTATTTTTTTTAATGAAACATAATTGAGCTACTGCAAAGTAAAACATCTTAGGTATTGTAAGTCTTTCCCAACCTGGTATATTCCAGGAATTTTGCAACTCCAACACATCTAGAGGGTGGTAGGTTGCAGAAGACACACAACACCCACTGTCAAATCAGTTAAAGATCTAACAATTGTAGCTACATAACATACAAAGTTTGGTTAGAGTTAGGGTTTTGGGTGGCTTAGTATTGGGTATGAATCCAATTTCTTTTGGCTACTTTATACTTTAATGTATTCCATGACCCCAGGCAATGGAATAAACATGTTGTTTGAAAACAGCCAATGTCTTCAAGACCAACAAAGCTTCTGATCCCCAATGAGTGGCAACATAGGCTATAAATACTCTGTCACAGAAGGGGGCAGCATCAAGCTGGGAAGTAAAACAAATTTGTATCATTGCCAACATAGATTATGGAAGCATCCATGAAGTCACCAGGACTCTTCTATAGCCATGGTCACATTATCGCCATTTGTGACCTTCCCTGCTGGCTTCCCACAGGCAAAGTCAATGGGGAAGCCAGCAGGAAAGGTTGCAAGTCATTCTAATAAGTTACTCCCACTGCTTTTTCTCCTAAGTATCCTGCTACGGAATACGAGATCTCAGGAATCTCGTACTCCGGGGCACCCCATCCCTCCCGCAGCCTTCACTGGCCCTCCTTTGGCCTACGCCGACCCGCCCATGGCCTCTACAGGCCCTCCCACACCCCACAGCACCTGCCCACAGCACTCCCCCACCCCCAGCATCTCCCATCTCCTTGCATTTCTTGCCTGGGACTCCCGTCTTTTCCTGCTTAATGACCTGTGTGGTCCTGGGGTTACAACGGCAACCAGGACTGCAGTTGCTAAGCAATGCGATCACATGATGTCACGCTTTACGACTGCATTGCTGAGTGACAGCAATTCTGGTCCCAGTTGCTATTGTAACCCAAGGACTACATGTATTGCATTTTCCTGGGTTGCCTACTTTAAAATGATGGGGGAACCTCAAGACTATTTTTCAGTGATTGTGGTCAAAAGGAGCTGTGTAGACCAGGAAATAAACAAAAAAAGAGGTGGGGGGGATTGTTCCAAGGCTCTATGTGGCCTTGGAAGCAAATTGCCCATACCTGCCCAACTGGAAAGAAACAATTTAATATGACTCATTATTGCTGTTTCATTAAATACAATAAATTAAAACCTCAGGGATATAGAACTACTAATGAGGGTTTTTTTGCCTCTGTACACAGAAAATTACTTAAGAGCAGTGATAGGTCCCCGTTCAGTAATCTTTATTGCCTAGATATGTACAAATATCTTAAATATGTTATAGTGGACAGATTACAGAAAGATCCCTGGACAAGAAATTTTCATTCCATTTTTCATAAAGGTGAATAGTGGGCTGCCAGGTCGATCATCAGAAGAAAACTGCAAAATCCATCCCTTCTTAAATTTTGAACAGTTTGAGATCATTCTGAAAGTAAAGGCCAATATTGTTGAAGAAACGGCCAGGAATGACAGGTTCAGAAATTTCAATTATCCTGTTCCAAACAAAGCTATGCATTGATCCTCCTCACTCTTGTTACTACTCGTTGATGCCTCTTCTGGTGGTAATGAATTCTAAAGGTTAATTGTGTCGAGAATGTCCACCTCGCTGGTTTTCTGATCTTTCAAAATCAAGTCCATTCCATGCCCAGAATAGGAGAAAGTTTCATACATCCTTTTCTGAAGCGCATTTGATTTATCTGAGGTGGAAACTTTCTGGAAAGCCTGAGCATCATCAGAAGAGGTCCATCAAGAGAAATATTTGCCATTGCAGAGAAGTCTTCTCCAAAGTATTGTTTGTTGGGCAACAGTGTCAATGTTCTCTTAAACAGTACTGTCACAGGAGTGTGCTTCATGTAAGACAGTCTGAAACACAATCACAAGTAACTAACTACGTAGTCTCAGTGCGTGGGCCCATATGTGCTGTATCTTCACCTGTAATACAAATTATACAAAGGACCTTATCATTCCTTGGAGTTGCCACAGAAGACAATGTTTATAAAATGGATTTTTTCACAAAAAGAATTGTGATTATGCCAAGGTAAGTCTCTGCCATTTACCTAAAATATTTCTTGAGCACCTGTGCATGGATCCTTATCACCTTTTCCTCAGTGTTGTCTCTTCCAAAAGTAAGGCAGTCCAGTCCCCAGTTTAAATTTCTGTAGGTCATGTATAACGAACTTTGGCTTTCTCTTTGATAGATTGCTTTGGTTGATGCCTTTTCATCTCATTTCCTCAAGTGTTGAGATATTCCAGAGATGCAGTAGCCACTACCTATAAGAAGGGCACAGATGACAATTCTAGATTAGTGTGTGATGGGATTAATATTTGGGTATTATAATATAATCGTATTTCAAATATGCATATTGAATAGGATAACACTTCTGGACTGCAAAAATCTGGAGAATTAAAAATCTTTGTAGATGTATTTCACAGAATGCCTCCATTATTTTCTACTTTTGCCACTTCCCTCTGACTACAGAGAAGATTAATAATAATTTTGTCAACTCACTTTCTTAGTTTCTCTATGAAATTGCCTGTAGGATGTTTCAGATGGGGTTGTTATCATGTCATTTTATAACTTAATTTTATGGAGATCTAATTTATGTCATCTATTGTACAATCTTCCTTCCTTCCTTCCTTCCTTCCTTCCTTCCTTCCTTCCTTCCTTCCTTCCTTCCCTTGAAAATAAAGCAACTGTGTAATATCTCTTGACTGATCTTCAGAAGGTCCTGATGCTATCAAAAGTAGTCATTATCAACAAGGATAGAGAGAAATTGTGTATATTGGTGTGTATCTCTGAGTGATTTGCAACACAACAGCCATAGTTTCCTGATCTCCAGATGCTTAGCAGTGACAACAGAAAAAAGATGTATCTGTGTTGTGGGGGGGGGGGGAGGGGAAGGACACAAACATTAGCTTGCTGACAGCAAGGGCCTTTCTCCCATGCTAAGCTGAAGCATTGTCCATCTGTCCTTCAATCAGCAGAAAATTACCCCAACATCTGCTTTAGTTCCCAGTCATTGCCAACTTCTAACTTTCTTCCAAGGTACGGGGTGGCAAAGCCTAACAGATTTTTACACATCTTGAAACTGCCTTTGGATGGGATCTGAATAAGAGGGAAATACTACTTTAATACCAATATACCTAAGAACAACTTCAATCTATCTTACTGGGCTGGAGATGAGATGAAGGCAATGTCATGGGGACATGGCAGAAAACATATGTTGTCATGATTAGGAGCAAACTGAGAAAGACTCAAAGAATGTTACTGTGTAGTGATTTAATAGTGGATTTTTTGTGTGTAAAATAGAACCATGTACTCATGGTTATACAGTTCTTTTACAAAGGAATGGGACTGAACACGTGCTTGGAGGTACCATTTTCCTAATTCTGAGGGTTTGTTCCTACTTCTGAACTACTATTTTGCACCAGGTTGCACTTGCAAAATGGGGTTCTACAAAAAAACAAAATAGGAACTGAATTCTATGCACCCTGAATAAGAGAGTCTGCAACAGCATTTCTGCTTCCAGCTACTGACCCTTTTCTGTTCAATTCCTCTATTTGACAACAACAGATTTGCATTTTGTTATGGGATCTTACAACCCAAGAAAGATAAGCATTATGAAAAAATGCAAGAATGCAATGTGTACATTTCCTTAGGTTGGAATACAAGGCACAACCTGTTTTAGAGCTCTATATGGATATAATAAACAGCCCTTTCCCAATTGGGTTCTTCCAAATCTATTCAACTCTACTTTTCAGGATTTTCAAATAGCATGGAAGATAATGAGGTTGGAGAAAATTAGTGAACCGGATGGTAGCTTCCCCCAGCTTCATGTTTTCCAGGTATTTTGAATTAAAACTCCTATCAGCCCTAGGCATTCTATAGAAACCATGATGACATCATCATGTCATCATGCAAATAATAAGAATTATGCTATTTGCAACCATTGCTTCATGCTGTTGTGGTACAAATGATTTTCAATATGTAATTGATGTTATTGTGCAGTAGGGTACAGTTGTGCCTCCCCTGGCTTCCTCTTTGGTGGAGGATAAGTGCAGAAAGACATAACAGATAACCAAGGTGGTGGATTCATGGGAAAGTATTTGTTAAATCTTGCTCTGGTATTTCCTCTGCAGGTTGCAAAGTAAAACATGGTCTGGGAATCACACTTCTATAACTGGAATTGTCTTTGTGGGACTCAGCAATGACCAAAGGATGCAGATTGCCCTCTTTGTAGTCATTTTCACTACCTACATACTCACTATGTTAGGCAACCTTCTGATCACCATATTGGTGCAGTCAGATTCCCGACTCCATACCCCCATGTACTTTTTCCTCACCAACCTCTCCGTGTTGGAGATGGGATTTGTAACCAGCATTGTGCCCCAGACCTTGACTCATCTGCTGGCTGGGAATGGGAAAATCTCATTCAAACGTTGCATAACTCAGATGTATTTCACATGTTCACTGGGGTGCACTGAAGGGCTGCTACTGGCAGCAATGGCTTACGACCGATACCTGGCTATCTGCTATCCCTTGGTTTATGCAGTGACCATGAACAGGAGACGCTATTTGATGCTTGGTGCAGCTTCATGGCTGGGAGCCTTTCTCATTTCTGGGATTATCACTGCCTTCATTATGCGCCTCCCGTTCTGTGGTCCTCATGACATCAACCATTTCTTCTGTGAGTTTGAGATGGTGCTGAGGCTTGCCTGCATGGATACACATTTCACAGAGACTATTATTTTGGGGTCAGGAGTTATTATTTTGCTGGCCCCATTCACTGCCATTCTGATCTCTTATGGCCTTGTCATGATGACGGTGGTGGACATGAAGTCAGGTGCTGGCCGGAGCAAGGCTTTCTCCACCTGTGCCTCACACTTAATGGTGGTTGTCATGTTTTATGGATGCCTCATTGCTCTGTATATGAGAGTCCGGTCACCTAGAGACCCCAGCTTTGACAAATATGTTTCTATTTTTTATGTGGTGATCACTCCTCTCTTGAACCCAGTCATCTACACTTTGAGGAACAAGGATGTCCATGCTGCAGTGGCCAAGGCTCTACAGAGAAAGGTGTTGAGCAGAAGGGCTGATTGATCCAGAAAACTTTTACCATCTTTATGAGATCACTTCCAACAGCCTCCCCCAAACTTCCACAACCCCCCATTCAGTCAGCTATGTTGTGGGAGCACCAAAGCCCAGTTAGTTAGTCCTGGTAACAATTTCTATGTGACATGTCCTCATGATACTGCCTTCATCTCACTCCTATCCACCTAGGGGCAGCTTATAGTAATCTTTAGCTGTTCCAGTTTTAAAGTAGCATTTTTCCTCCTTTTCTGACACAAATTTGGTTATGGACATGATGCTTCATCCACAATGTGACTGATGATACAGTTAAGCAGCTGGGAACTGTCCCACTCCTGTTGACCACTTGAGGCTGCTTTGGGGAACTCCCTCCCTTCTGGTCCCAGAACACCATTTTTCAGGGCCATTCTGCTTTTGGTAATGGGAGCATCCAGGTCTTTCAAACCAGGCTCCCCCATGTCCTGGATCAGCCCAACCTACTACATCATATAAGGAGAGACTCCTCATGGTCTCCTCATGGTCTAGGATGTGAGGGGAGCTGAGGATAGAAGCTGCTGCTTTTCAATAACAGGACCAGTGTTGTGGAATATTCTCCTTGTAGAGATCAGGCTACCCCATTCCTTGATGGCTTTCAGACAGTTATTAAAAACTTACCTTTTCCAAAAGCATTCCAGTGATATTGTGCCACTTTTAAATAATAATAATAACAATAATAATAATTTTATTTCTTTACATTTTTATGGCCATGATATATGTGCTTAGTTTATTTTTATTCTCTGTACAAAAATAATGATGCCTGAGTTGCCTGACTTTCAGTCTTACCCTGGATGTTTTAATTCTTTCTGTTCATGCCTTCTATACCACTGACAGTCATGAGGCTGTGATGGGAAATAAACTCAATAAACAAGGAAACCAACAAACCAATATCCACCACCACCTTCACCATCCATCTCTGAAGTAATTCCCAGCTTGGAGTGCTGAATCAGTCTAGAGAGCAGGGGACTGATGGTGGTGGCTGGGAAGTCCACAAGGTTAAGCTAGGTGGGGTAGGAAAAAGAGGGAGGGAGGGAGGGGGGAGAGGAAACAAAAGAGAGAGAGATCTGCCTGTCACTGCAGGGTGCAACCCTTCACCATACAGTCAGCTGCCAATATTCAGTGTAATCTTAAACCACGTCATTGGTTTGAGTTAGCAATTTACCAGGGGCTGGAGGAGGGGAGGCAAACATTAATTAATAAAAACTTCTTATTCTTGACATACAAATTAATACCAATAGCCAGCTGCTTACACCTTACAGATATGGAAGGAATGGAGCATAATTTGGCAGAAATTAAATCCTGATAGTACCATGAGCTCCCTAGACTGCCATGAAATTTCTACCTACTGCATGTATGTATATATTTCTCTCTCTCTATTCTATTGTCTCTCTGCCTGTCTATCTGTCTGTCTGTCTATCTATCTTTCTATCCCTATCTTTGTATATCTATCTATATATCTATCTATCATGGAGAAAATCTATCTATGTGGTTACTAGGAGTCAAAAATGACTTGATGGCACATAATTGTCTGCCTGCCTGCCTGCCTGCCTGCCTGCCTGCCTGCCTGCCTGCCTGCCTGCCTACCTGTCTGTCTGTCTGTCTGTCTGTCTATCTATCTATCTATCTATCTATCGATCTATCTATCTATCTATCTATCTATCGATCTATCTATCTATCTATCTATCTATCGATCTATCTATCTATCTATCTATCTATCGATCTATCTATCTATCTATCTATCTATCGATCTATCTATCTATCTATCTATCTATCGATCTATCTATCTATCTATCTATCTATCGATCTATCTATCTATCTATCTATCTATCGATCTATCTATCTATCTATCTATCTATCGATCTATCTATCTATCTATCTATCTATCGATCTATCTATCTATCTATCTATCTATCGATCTATCTATCTATCTATCTATCTATCTATCTATCTATCTATCTATCATTTATCTATCTCAAACTCTACCCCCATAATTTTCTAAAGAAAGATTGAAATGAGGGGTCATACTTTTTGGAGTGCCACCCTGAGCTCAAGAATATCTCCTGATGAGTGTTAAAGAGTCATTCTCTAGGAATTGCTTCTGCACCTGTTAAGATTAAATATTAGCTACAGGATTTTAGCTGTACATCAGCTTCTTTTTCTCTGCTTCTATGATCAGAGACTTTGTACTTTCTGCTTCTCCTGCCACCCTGCCCAGCCCAGGGGATATAACCCACCAGCACTGGACAATCAGCCAAGCAACAACTAACCAGTGTTGGGGTGGTGGCATGGTGATGTGGGAGAGAGTCTTTTAAATGCAAAATTCATATTGAGTAATAACTCAAGACAAAGTCAACAGGCATGAGAGGGGAGGGCTGGTTGCACAGTGAAGTGGCAAGGCGCTCTCCCATTGGACCGTGTAGTTGTCTTTCATGCTACTGTTAATCAGACTGCTTTTAAAAATGGCTTTAGTACTGTTGGAATATTTTTCTTATATGTTAACAATAAGTTTAAATTAAGGATCATTGTATAGGCAATAGTAACATAATTTTATAAAAGGAAAGTCTGGCTCCTGCCATTATAAATAAATAAGCACATCACAGCAAAACCCATGTAAAGGAAGACATATATCTTATGCATAAAAAAATATATGTATAGGAAAGATAAAATGCCCATTTAGGGAGACATTTGTTTTAGCTCTAGATAAGGAGACATCTGTTCTAACTATAAATAAGGAGGCATCTGCTTTAACTCTAAGATAAACATTTGTTTGTAATAAGCTAACACATTCCATTGTATTGATAATGATTGGCTAAATTTTTAAAATAAAAACCTATAAGAAGGGAAACAGGAGCAATCCATTGCAGCTGCCATCCAATATTATTTACATCCTTGAATAAACTTATTTTCATTTACTTCCTCTGATCATCTGGTGTGTTTTATTGGGTTCCCAGCTTCGGTACGAACCATGGGAAAAGAAGTTGTCTGATTCTTCTGACAGTACTCTTCTGAAATGCACTGAAACTATATTCAAAACATCTAGAACAGCACAAAACCTGTGTTTAAAAGTAGCTGATAGGTGCTGGGGAGCATGCGGTGAATTAAAATCTCTTCCACTTCATGCTACCCGCCCCCCCAGCGCTTTCATCAGGCAGCCTCCACCACCCTGGCATATGCCACCTGTACCACAGATCAGTGGTCTCAGTACCAGATTTTGACAGGGAACTAAGCCTGCCCTTCTAGCTGTTTGTCAAAACTTGCCTCCTCCCACATACGCACTCACTGTAGGGGGAGAGCAATGTGTGGTCCTTTTTCCTGCCAGCAGTTGATGCAAATGAAGCCAGGGGGCTTGCCCCGTGCCTTTCCTTGTCCTGGGTTAAAACTACCAGGACAACATTACTGAGTCCATTCACCTTTTTGCTGGTCATCTTTTTCTTCTCTTTCTTCCCAGCATTACAGCCTTCTCCCAAAAGCTAGGCCTTACGTAATGTGTCTAAAGTAGGATAATAGACGCAATAAATGGTTTTACAGATTTTAAGTCTTAATATTTCTTAAGCTGCATTTTGTAGGATATTCTACAAAATATCATGTGCGTGTATTATGATTCTTTGAACCAATTGTGACTCCTGGTGACTACATGGACAGGTCCATACAACATTTCAGAAGTAGTTTGCCATTATCCTTTTTTTTTTTTTTTTAATGAATGAGAGAAAATGACTGGCTCAAAGTCACCCAGCTGGCTTCTGTGCTTAAGGCATGACTTAGGTTTCCATGCCTCTAGTCCTGTGCCTTAACCATTAGACCAAACCGACTTTCATATACGTCTGTTGAACTAGAAGCTAGGGGACCACTGCATTGACTTGTTCGTGTGGTCACCAGGAGTCAAGAACAATTCCTTCAAGATTAACCTGAAGAACAACAACAAAATATCATAATCCAGTTTCTCTCACTGTAAATCTTTTCAGAGCTGGATACAGGAATAGATCTTTGGGAATAAGTTATGAAACTGCTCAAAAATGGGCCAGCTGGAGCATAGATATACCATGCGGCCCTCATCCCAGAGTAACATTTAAACTTCAAGACAAATAGTCTTTGATAAACCTGTCCTCCATGAATTTATCTAATCCCCTTATCAACCTTATAAGGCCATGCAGGTTGGTGGCCCTTCTGAGATATGGTTGTTAATTAATTCCACCAATTAATTATGTGCTCTGTGAAGGAAACCTTTTTTTTGGTCTGTTCTAAACCTATTTCCAGTTGGTTTCATTGGATGACCCCTGGCCCTAGAGTTTTGAGAGAGTGAGAAAGACTTTCACTTTCTCCATGCCATACATGACTTTGTAGACCTCAATTATGTCTTCCTTCACTAGTCTTTTTACATGCTAAAGGGTCCCAAATGTTTTAATCTTTTTTTTTTTTTTTAGGTTAAGGAAGGTATTTGAGCCCTTGAATAGTTTTCTTGTCCTCTTTTTACCTCTGTGTTATATATCAGATGCCTGAGGAAAGCTCCCAAACCATACATAAGTCCAAAGGCATCTTCTCTGTGTCCCCTGGAAACAAACAGAGATGTTTAATCTCTCTGAAGAGAAGGATCAGACCAAGGCTGACCTTAGTCCAGCATTTTGTTTCCCCTGGAAACATAACAGCTCATAAGCAGGAGAAAGAGACATACCCTCTCCTGCCAAGTTCCTTTGCAACTACTAAACTGAACCATCTTGCCCCCAGCCTGGAGGCATCTTTGAGTGGTCAAGATTCATTGCCCTTGACAATCTGACCCTCCATGAATTTAAACACTTCCTTCTTAAAGCCGCCCACATTAGAGGCCTTCATCCTGTTTTGTGGTAATGAATTCCAGGTTGTGTGCTTTGTGAAGAAGTGCTGTCCAGATCTCCTTCCAATCAGTGTTTTTGGATGACCCCTAGTTCTAATGCTTGGAGAGATGGATAAAAACTCTCTGGCCACTTTCTTCATGCCATGTCTGATGTTATACTTCTCAGCCACGTCCCTTGTCCATAGCTTCTTTCTCAACTTAAAGAGTGCCAGAAATCCTAGCCTTTTCTAGTAAAGGAGGTGTCTGAGCCCTCTGGTAATTTCCGCTGCCTTCTTCCATTAGATCTCCTTTCCAAATTTGGCAGCCCAAAGTGTACACCTCTGAGGGCCACATATAGGTCTAGTCAAATGTGTGGAGTGCTCCATACTGGAGATGCAGGGAGTAAAGTGGATGTAATCAGAGCAGAAAGACATGTGCCTAGATATATTTTTATTGCTATTTTTAGAGTCATTTTTAGTTAAATCCCACTGATTCCTTCCCCCCGTTCTATACACTGATAATGCCCTTCCAATAATCTTGTTCCATCTCTTTGATCCTTAAAACCATTAAGTATAATTTTAAACTTCTGTACCAAAAATAATTGGAAGTTAAGGAAGGGAGCTGTGGCCACACCAGAAAAAGTTTTAAGAGGAACACGGCTTTTGACCTTTGAATCAATCTGTGGTGATTATCATAATGATAAATGTTGGAGGACTCCATGAACAATTAATCCTTCTCCACCACACCAGTCTATTCACAATAACACTTGTTGTGGGTCGCTACAATTTTTTTGGTTTTTTTGGCAAATACTCTTTATTTCTGTGGAAACTGTTTTTGGAAATATCAAATAATTGTTTTGTTTCTAATTTGCTAAATTAACCCCAAAGGAAGCAAACTGTTGGGCTTAGAGCAGGAGTTTGATAATGATCTAGAAGAAACTTTCAAAGGGATCAGAACTTTTCCATGAGAATATCTATCGTCCTTCTCTTATGGATCATCACAGCTTTAACAAGGCACAAAGAGAGACAGCCCTCCACAGCACAATGTCTATCTTCTGATGCCTCAAATCATTAGATGATTAACAAGCCATGTTAATCCTGATCCCCATTTGAAATGCTATACGTTCATCAAAGAAACATCTGCCAGAATGGTTGAAGACCCAGAGTTTAATACTACAGTGCAGGATTCCATATTCAAAATTCCTCCTTTCTCCAGCTGATAGAATTGAGGACACAGCTGATACTCCAAGGTGCAAAATCAACCATGTTGGGCTTCATGGACTACACTGAATAAAATATTTTCTGACTGCGTTCTAGCAGTTAGTGATCTCCTCAGAATATTAGAATTGATAGTTTCCTCCTAATCTAGGATCCAACACTGAAAAATAGGCAGCTACGGAGTACATTATCTCATCCATCCATCCATCCATCCATCCATCCATCCATCCATCCATCCATCCATCCATCTATCTATCTATCTATCTATCTATCTATCTATCTATCTATCTATCTATCTATCTATCTATCTAGTATACAATGATTGTATGTTGAAAGCCCAGAAGATAGTCACATCTTCATATTTTGCTGCCAGGTAATTCTCTATGCTTTTTGCTACTAATAGCCAGGTTATCAAGAGCCTGCCTTTGCCAGTATGTCAGAAATTAATGCTGGATTGGAAGCTCTGGAGCAGCTCTCATGTGCAAGATGACTTAGGTTTTACCTGAAGTCCTGCTATATAAGTTTTGAAGATCATGTTTTCTAAAAAACACAGCCATTTTCACTTATATGTCAACATAAACTAGTAAGAAGTTTCCTTCACTGGTGAGGAATAATTTAGATGATTATGAGGGTAAAGAGAACCAGTTTGGTATAGTGGTTAAAGGACCTGAACTGGAGGACAAAGCCAGCTGGTGACTTGGGTCAGTTGCTCTCTCTCAGCCCTAGGAAGAACACCACAATGGCAAACCACTTCCAAAAAATGTAACCGAGAAAAGGACACTGACTTTTTCATGTAGTTGCCAGTTTTATAAAGGTAAGACTATTTTGAAAATGAATTTAAGCTCTTGTTTCGTCACGGCCCAGGACTCAGACTCTTCCACTGATTCAGCTGGAGCAGTTTCTTCAGAGTCAGAGTCTGAGTCTGATATGTTTGTTGTCGTCCCTTTTGACCTTAAAAAGAGATTCTATCTTCTTAACTTGTCTTTAAGTTACACATAATGTATCAGGATCTCTATCTATAGAGGATCCTCAAATTTATATCTTAGAATAAATAAAAAGAGATCAATAATAAAATATTACTAGATAATTAACACAAAAGTGTAATTTAGTATGCAAAATGAACTCTTGAGTGACAGCTTTTAATTTTTTAAAAGTTATTCTTGTTTATTACCTAAAATATATTGCATCCAGGGGATGCAAAATAATAAAAAGGAGGAAAAACATATACATGAATAATGATATACATATTCCTGAACTTAATGTGAAATATAACCATTTTAAATATCCATGTTTAAAGACTTTTAATTTTTCAGTCAATGTCATTTTTCACATTTCTAAAAGCCATGGCTCCAAAGAATGATGCATTTTCATGTTCTAATATTTTGTAGTAGTAAATCTTGAAGGTAACAGGAAAAAAAGAACTCTTGAAATAGTATCTTGTGTTGCAAGAATTTACACATGTTGAGAAATATATTAATAAACCTACGATAGATTAATTTCCAGTTTGTTGAGTACTATTTTCAATTTCCTCAAAAACTTTCAACCAAAGTAAATCATTAAATGTACATTTCCCTTAGAGATGTTAATATGTCTCAGTTTGATTACATCTAACACAGAAAGATTTTGACTGCTATGAAGTCATTTTTGAGAGGAACGCAAAATTATTTTTATGGTCAGTTCTTCATGCCTTACTGAGATAAATTTGAAAGGAATTTTGTACCATAAAGAGATCACAAGTATATGTGTGGAATTCAGATTCCAATTTTATTTTTATTTTTTATTTATATATCAAATTTGTCACTGCCCATCTCATTAAAAAATGACTCTGAGTGGTTTACAAAGAAGTTAAAATCAATTAAAAATACAATATAAAATGGTCCTAAATAAATAGAAGATATTCGGGGGTCACATAACAATTCGTTTTCTCATACCTTTTTGAAACTTTCAAGACAGTCTATTTCATATGAGTATTTTGTATATTACTGAAGCATTTACAAATGCTTCAGTATGAAACAAAGTGGATATAAGCGCTCTTTCAGTCTTGTTAAAAGACTCCATTTGTGCTATCCAATAAGCCTGAAAAGTGATTGAACCTGTCTCATCTGAAGCCAGCTTTGAAATTGTGATCCAAAGACTGTAGACAGCATGATTAATCTCAAGCTTTATGTGTTTCATTATTACAGAATACCATTGCTTCCCTCTTTCATTTTCCCTGCAGACAGGAAGCCAAAATGGCCTCTATGAACCTCACAACTGTTACAGAGTTCATTTTGGTGGGTCTCCCCAGTGAGCGTAAGACACAGATCCTGGTCTTTGTGGTCATCCTTCTCATCTACTTGCTTACCATTATGGGCAACCTGGTGATTATCCTGCTTGTGTGGACTGACTCCTCCCTCCATACACCCATGTACTCCTTTTTAAGTCAGCTATCCACTTTAGAGATCTGTTACGTCACCAGCACTTTGCCCCAGATGTTGGCTCACCTCATGGCTGGCAATGGAACCATCTCCTTCACCCATTGTGTCATTCAGATGTATATTGCATCATGTCTTGGTGGCACTGAATGTCTTCTCCTAGCTGCCATGGCTTATGACCGCTATTTGGCCATCTGTCAACCCTTGCTGTACAGTATTGCTATGGGCAAATGGCGCCAGTTTCAACTCACCTTTATCAGCTGGGCAAGTGCATTCTTTCTTGGTTCAGTAAATCTGGGCTATGCTCTCAGTCTTCCATTTTGTGGTCCTAATCACATCAACCACTTCTTCTGTGAGTTGCCAGTTGTTTTGAAACTCTCCTGTGCTGATCCTCATGTCACAGACAACACAATTTTTTTGGCATCTGCACTGCTCCTACCAATTCCCATTTCGGTTATCCTGATATCTTATGGGCTCATTCTTCACTCTGTGTTACAAATGCAGTCAACCTCTAGATGGCAGAAGGCCTTCTCCACATGTGCTTCCCACCTCATTGTTGTTACTATGTTCTATGGAACTGTTGTCTCTATGTACATGATCCCTAGGTCTGGCTCAACTTCTGATTTTGACAAACAAATTGCTGTATTTTACATTGTGATTACTCTCTTGCTCAACCCTATCATTTACACCTTGAGAAACAAAGATGTTCATGCAGCAGCAGCCAAGATGCTGGGAAGATACTGCTTTGACCAAAAGAAGTTGAATAATGCACAAAATAAGTGATAAGCCAATGTGTCTCAAGTTCTAGCTTTTAACATTTAGTAATGTCTTCTATATATGGATAGTTCATTTCTCTTCATACTCTTTCAATCAACCTTCCTTCCTTCCTTCCTTCCTTCCTTCCTTCCTTCCTTCCTTCCTTCCTTCCTTCCTT